CAAAGATGCCGAAGCTGCCGGCCTTTAGCAGTCCAAATCATCATTCCATGGGTTATCAGCTTTGCCCAAATAGACAGCGCACTTGGAGAATGCTCTTACTCTTTCGACATTCTGAGTGCGGTCGTGACTTCTGCTGCAGGCTGTACTTCCTTGCATACACAGACGACGTGCCCCCAAAGGAAGATCTGGAGGTGCACCGTCAAAGATACACAGGTAAGGATGCGGGTGGTTGTTCAGACGCTTTATGGGCATAGTAGGGCTCAGCCTTCAGGTTTGGTGTTGCGTGTGCACAAAAGTCCAAGGCTGTGGAAATTCGCGAGTGGCTGTGGCAGCGTGAGTACACGACTTTGGAGCTTCAGCACAGGCCAGACTTGCCATTGCCTTGACTTGTGTCCATCAGACTAGCTACTATTGGTGGCGGTTGCAGGGAGTATAGACGGGGGAAGAAAGCTGAGAAATCGACTGAAATGCAGCGCAAGCTGAGAAATCGACTAACATGCAGCGCCAAAGAAATCCGAAAACAAGAAGGCAAGGCCACCAATGCAAATCCCAAAAAGAATGCAAAACCAACCCAAAACAAATCCAGTTCCCACGTCGACCAGGTTAGTCGCGTTCAATGCATGGCTTGGCATTCATGATCAGGCTCCGGGGAGCGAGACGAACCGGACGCAGGGGCGGGGAGGGCCCGCGAAAACCGCTTCCACAAAGGCAGGACCAGAGACGGTGTGGGGATTGTGCGGAGGGGCACCTGGCGGGACGCGTGTGGGGGTGGGCTTTTGTAAATGCCTAAACCAGGTGCTGGGAGCGGCCCGGAAGCATTGTTTTTGCACGTTTTTTTTGCTAATTGTGCTGTTATTGAGATGTGTGTGGTTCCTAAATATGCCTCACAATGCAAAACAACGCGACCACATATTCGGGAGCCTTGTTTCTGTTTTTGTGCATGCCAGCGTTCGCGGCCCTGGAGGCAACAAGGACTTTAGAGTTTTTGTACGACATATCATGTGTGTCTCATAAAACCATGGCTGTTTCCGCTGGCGTGATCGAGCAGGGTGCTATATGTCAATGTGTTCGGCCTTTATTCGGCCGCCGGTCTCAACGCGCTTCCGCATCCAGGTTAGCCAGAAAAATGACGTCCATCTTCGGGATTTGAAAACAAGAGGCATCCATGACCAAGGCATAATCACGTCCGTTTTCGACCACACCTGATAGGCTCCAAAGCACAATAAAACTTCCATCTTTGAGAGCATCCGAGAACCAGCTGCATCCACGAACAAAGCATAATAACGTCCATCTTGGAGGTTATCGATAACCAGAGCAGCATGGTCCAACTGCGTGGAGAGAATCCGTCAACCAAGAGCATCCATGCTCAATGCAGAACAAAGTACATCTTCGACAGCAGTACGTTTGGGAGTTGAAGCTTAGGATTTCGGCCAAGTGCTTAACCATGAAGTTTTCAGACTAGGATTCGAAAGTTATGCTTGCTAGGATTGGAAAGCTCCATATGAGGTTTTGCCCTAGTGCTGTAATCGTGATCTTTCAGTTTTGGATGTAGAGCGTAGGTTGGGGATTCGGCACGTGTGAGGAACTACAACGTTTTAAGCTCTGCCCAGCGAGGGACGCGACGCGTTGCTCACAAAACATAGCTTGAATGTACAAACACGAAAAATACCTCTGTGCGCGCAAAAGCGCTCGAAATTACAAAGTGCGCAAACACTGGCAGGCGTGGTACCAACAGCATATTCTTGTTTTTTGCGCATGATCCGTTAACAAAGACAGTTCCCAAAAACGATTTCTTCCTCGGACGAACATGGGCAGGCGTGGGACGAAGTCCACGTTGCAGAGCTTTTCGCCCGGGGCTGCTAACACTAACGCTATTGAACATGCGTGACCTTGTTTTTGCATTTTCAGCGCCGTCTAGGACCCCTCAAAAAATGCGAAACGTGCGCCCCCAGACAGCTCGGCCTGGAAGCCTTCGAAAGGCCCCTGGGAGGCCTTTCGAAATTCATCAAAGCCCCCAGATGGGATTTCTAATTCTGTTTGTGCTAGAGTCTGTAAAAAAAACCAACCAGGCGCATGAGCTGTCAACAATGACTCCACAGTGTGCGAGTGTGGCCACGAACCTGTTTGTTGCTTGTTGGTTGCCTTTTTTCTTGCCTTTGCCTTTGGTGTTGTCTTTTTTTCTCCTTTGCCTTGCCTTTTTTCTGGCATTGGTTTGCGCATTTTTCTCTTTTTTTTGTCTTCCTGTCTTGTTGTCTCTTGCTCGCCTTGACGGTTTTTCGGGATTGCAGAAGGAACAAGTCTCAAGACACGCTAAGGTACGAGACGCATAATGCATGAATTACTTTGACATTGTCATATGATGACTGTAGGGTCTACATTGCGCCACTTGATCCAAAGGCACCTAATTGCGGGAAGCAATCAGAGTCGGTACTGGGTGAAAAACAATGCCATTTGAGCAGTTTCAAGCACAGGCGTTGGAGGAAAGCTACTTAGGTACGGAAATAACTTGTGAAGTTGGCCGGCAGCAACTTCCGAACAGTGGTTCCCACTGTGCCCGCGGAAGCTGTGGCGGAAGCACTTTGCTTGCGAAAGCTCTTGCGGAAGCCCTTTCTTTGTTTGGATGGATAACGCCGAAGACTAGAAATCCTTTTCCTGTCAAGTCTTCGCGGAGGACTCGCGGGCGGAAGCTTCCCTATATTTCAATGAAACTTCTATACTTGAAATTTTAACAGCTCATTCGGGGTGAGTCTGAATCCAGTGGCCCAGCTCTGTTCCAGGTGGGACTCGGCGCCTGGAAGTCTACGCCTTCCCCCAGAGGATGAGGAGGTTCCAGCCCAAGCTTCAAACTAAAGAGCACATTTTGCTGTTGAGCGGCGCTGCCGAGAGTTGAATCCCTGAATAGCTCCATGCAAAGCAGCATGCTCCTTTTCAACGACCCGTTTGTTGTTATGTTAGCTGGGCACAGCCCAAACAAAAACCTAGATACTCTGAAACTCTGACTTCAAGGCTTACATCCTAAAACATTGCCAGGGCTTGGTCGGCATCGTGGTGAAGCTTCCGCCAGACCAGCTGAGCAGGTGCGAGGGAAGCACAAAGTAAAGCACGAAGCGGTGAGAAGATTGATGCCGCCAGTGGGGACGACAAGGGGTGTTAGATTTTCATGGTTTTTGGTAGCGTGTATGAAACTGAATGTGAATATGTCAACGAGCACGGGAACCGTGTTGCATTTTCATGGGTGGCATGGCATTGGAGGGTAGTCCCGATATGGCTCATTTGAAAGACTCTTGGTGCGAGTCCATCTATGCTGAAAAAGCTGAGCTCAATGAGCATCTAAACGGCACTGGCATGAGTTTCATGCCAATTACAAAAGCTTCTCTGAGCTTTCGTCTGAGTCCAGCTTTGCTGATCTGTACCAAAGGGGTGTGGGGCAGGGGAAACACCCAAAAATGGTCCAGACCCAGCGGCAGGAGGGTTTTCGGGAGGGCAGCCTGCGGGCCTCGAAATAGGCATGATGGGGTCTGTTCTGATGCGGTTTCGGGGTGTTGTTTCGGGTGCCGTGGAGGCCGTTTGGGACGCCAGATGGCAGTTTTTGGGCACGTGGAAGCCGTTCTTGGGCACGCCAAGGCCGCTCGCGCCAGCCGCTTCGTGAAAAAATGCACACTCCAGTATGCACCCTGCTTCTAAGCTTTTGTCCACCCCCCCCCCCCACCGCAAGTTATTTGCCGCATGAGTGCTGCTGCTGCTGCTGCTTCCGCTGCTTCCGCTGCTTCCGCTGCTGCTGCTGCTGCTGCTGCTTCTCACTTTCTGTTATTTTGCGATGGGACACAGCTACCATCATGACTTGGTTACCACCTCTGTCGGAATGATCGCTTAGGCTCGCAGCGGAAGGTGTGGAAGAATGTGCCGGGAGGGCGATCCTTCGAGATCCAGATGGCTTGCCCATCCAGCTGGAGCCTTTGACGTCCTAGAATATTCGGGAATACCCACCGACTTTTCCTGTGAGACGCTTTGGCAGCAGCCCTGTCAAAAAGACACCTTCAAGTAGGCTTCGACCCTGATGGAGAGTGCTCTCCACAGGCCCACGGCCAGAGAGACCAGGGCTGTGCCTCCGAGGAGCCAAGGCGTTTCTCTCCTTCCCTGCCAGCTCACTGCCACTATGGTCATTGATATGGTGTGCGAAGCAACAATGTCTGAGATCAATTAGGAGCAGCATTTTGAAGTCTCACCATCATCAAGACTAGCAGTGCAAAGGTTGAGGCAGAGCAGTTCACATCCAACACCATTCTGAAGGTGATGCTTTACAGTGCGGAGAAAACCAGCTTCGCAAAATTGTCTTCATCTTGACTTCCATGAACATCTCAGTTTGGGTGTCTCCTGTCCGTGTTGCTAGTGCCCGCGCTTAGCAAGCTTCTTCCTGATAGTTTGGCCCTCACCTCCAACATACAACCTGCCATTCTGTTGGTATGCAGGAAGACCTGGCCCGCGATCATCACCCCTGTGTCTATATTTTTGACCTACCACGTAAGGAAACTGTGGGTTTTGCTTGGGCAGCAGTTCACCTCTTTGTGCCCTCCTCATGCCGCAGGCACTCTACTTCAATCAGACATCTACCAAGCTGACCAGCCCTCGTTTTGAGAGTCTTGTTCAAGATCTCGTAGATTCCGGTTTTTTCATGGGGACTTTGGCTTTGTGTTGCATAGCCGTGATTCTATAAGCTTGGGCCGCCAGAGGGGCCACGAGAGCTGCCACCAGAGCAGCACCATGCTTTAACTTTTGTTGTTTGCATGCGATGTGCTGCGAAGGAAAATGAACCTGACAATTTGCTGCTAAATTGTGGGTGCGCGTCCCGTTTGATGGAGAGCGTTGAGGCATGTCTGGCCTTCCGGAACCTAGTAGCTACCTAGTCGGATTTCCTTCGCGGTTCTTGGATTTGTTGACTCTTTACAGGCCGTGCTGGGTTTGAGCGGCTCCATCCAATCGCCGTAATTTTGCCATGCCAGGAGTTGAAAGGCCGTACCGAGGCTGCCGAGAAGGAGTGTGCCGAGCTCCGCGAGGAATGCAAAGGCCAAGCCCTAAATCGGATGTTTTCTCGGTTTGGGGCTTTTCGGTTTGCGTCCGTGACCTACATGATTCCATTTTCCAGGGGGAAACAACCCGACATAAAGAGGATTATTATAATCCTCCTTGTGCGCACAGTTTTCTCGGAAAGATATACTTTTTACTTGGCTCAACGACCAAAGATCTCTCACATGCTGATGTTATCGCTTGAAAGTCCCTGTCCTTAGTAGTCCTTCTCCCTGGGTAAGCATGCGTTGTGCTTGAACTCAGGGCAGCTGGACGAGCTGGCACGCCTCTACGAGGCCCGACGCAGACGCTGACAGACAGCAGCATCACAAGAAGCAGTGTTGACCGTGGTAGAAAAAGTGGCCGTAGCGATGTCAATCAGCAACGCCAGCATGAGTAGTAGCAGGGGTGTCGCTGGTGATGATAGCAAGTGCATGAATAGCAACAGTAGGAACAGGAGGAGTAGTAACATCAGTAGTGTAGTTTGGCATTACCGCTATCAGTAGCAGTGACAGCAGCAGGAGTAGTAGCTGGAGCAGCAGTTGTTGTGGCCGTGTTGACGGCAAGCAGCGGCTGTGGCAGTGGCTGCAATGCTAGTAGTCAAGACTTGTGGGGTGGTTATGGTGGTAGTTGTAAGCGTTGTGACAGTCCAAGACGAAGCCTGTAAGCTTCGGCAACAAAATGGATTCTCATACTTGCTTGTCATGGCTCGTGGAGCTTGTTCATCCGCGGTGCAAATGAGCAGGCTTGAGCCGCCTGACGTTAGACTTTCGACAAGTTGATAAGTTAACAGTTTCAATGAGGATGCATGGGCTCTGGCTACGCATAAGCAATAGGATCCTGCATTTCCTCTGCAGGACCATCTTAACTGGGCTTGCCACAGCACGCCAACTTCCTCGTAGTCAGTACTTCAGCCATGAGGGACGCAATCCCAACAAAGCAGAAACGATGCTGCGCAGGAGTTTCGGCGTGCTCACCAAAAGGTGCAGGAGGCAACTGCTGCAGCTGTTGCTGAGATGGGCTAAAGTTGTGCGAGCTCAGAAGCAGTGAATGCGATTTAGGGATCCTTGGTAATCGGACCGCTGTGCGTTGTGCGGCTATCCAGCGTTTGTATCAGGAGTTTTTGGTCCTGGATCGCATGAATAAGTCAGGCGCTCCATGAACAGGAGGATCTTCTGGTTTAGTTGCATGGAAGGTGACCGAGATTTTTCTACACTGGGAACATGACTTCAGTGTTGAGACAACATCAGGTGAACTGCTAAGCGCTTGTGCGTGTTTCACGACAGGCAGCAGACGCATGAATGCCTGTCAGGGCTCAGCAAGGCTGCGACTAGCACGCCGGCTTGACCTGGCAGTTCCCTTTGCTCAGTCCCGCACTGCAACGTGCCAGGAGAAGGCGCGGAGGGAAACGATCGAGAAGCCGCAAGCCTGGCTTTCAAGAGATGGCAGATGTACCCCTATTGAGAATTCTAGCATGTCAAATACAAAAAGGCCATATTGGTAACGTCGCAGTCGGGAACAGTTGCTGAACATGCACGGAATGCTCGAAAGCAGAACCCGCAAGACATGAGGGCACGACTCTGGAACGCAGTTCTTACTCGTTACCTTCTTGTCCCTGACTCCATGCATTCCTGTTTCCTCACACAGGCCTCCGAGAGTGCGCTACTTGACTCGTCACTTTTCGTAGCATGCCTCGTTTTTAACTGATCCGTCCTGGTTGCTTTCTGGGTTGGCAAGTTGTGCTTTCTCCAGCCCTTGCTGTACCTAGGTATCAGGGCTTGAAAATTGTATTTGAGTGGGATCCAAATGTTTGCATTTCGTCTGACGGCTTTGTAGCTTTCATGCTCGAGGCTGCCACTTCGTTTTGTTGGTGTGGTAGAAGCCTACCTGACGTCAAGCTCATACGGGGTCCGGGGCCGGTCATGGCCCAGGATGTGGAGACGCCTTCAGGCTAGGGACTAGGGCGTATCCTGGACTTATCCAGTCTGCGAATCCCACGAGTTTGCACCGTGGTTGACACATATCCGGATGAGAACCCAACGTAGGCCTCTGTGTTCATTTCTTTCTGTGGTTTCGTGGAACGTCTTGCATATTGGACACACCCTTGCATGGAAATCCTGTAAGCTCATTCCAAACCCCTGCATGTTCCACCTCTGTGCACCCTCAAAGACGGTAGTAAGCCCGAAGCAAAGTCAAGGCACTTGGGGTCTGCTGTGGAGGCAAGGTTTGCTGAGGGGAGAGGGAGCTTCCTTGCGTTACTGTTTAATGGTTCACTGTAACAGTGTCTGGGTACAGTTTCTTTCGAGTCGAAATTTTGATCACACGGGGAAGTCCTCTCCACGACCTGCCGTTTGTCGTCCTCCGCAACACCTCTACGCGCGATAATACTAATAATAGTAGTAGTAGTAGCAGTAGTAGTGGTAGGCGCAAACGGGTAGGTTCGCCCAGACTTGAGCTGTGCTTGCTGTCAATTTCAGGTTTGGGTTTTTAGGGTTTAGGGTTTTTTAGGGCTTAGGTTTTTTAGGGTTTAGGGTTTTCAGGGTTTAGGTGGCTTTAGGTCTTTTAGTTGGTTTTTAGGGTTGTTAGGGAGGTTTCTAGGATTTTTAGGGTTTACGGCTGTTAGGGTTTCTAGGGTTTAGGCTTTTTATGGTTTAGGGTTGAGGGTTTTTAGAGTTTAGGGTTTTTAGGGTTTTTAGGGTTTTCAGGATTTAGGGTTTTAGGGTTTAGGGTTTTTAGGGTTTAGTGGTTTTAGGTTTTAGGGGTTTTAGGGTTTAGGGTTCAAGTGTTTTTAGGGCTTTGCGTGTTTAGTGTTTTTAGGGTTTTGGGTTTTCAGGGTTTGTGGTTTTTAGGGTTTTGAGGGTTTAGGTTTTTTAGGGTTTTTAGGGTTTAGGGCTTTTAGGGTTTAGGATTGTTAGGGTTTAGGTGGTTCTACTGTATTTAGTGTTTGTTTTCAGGTTTTTTAGGTGTTTTTTAGGGTCAGGTATTTTAGTGTTTTTGGGGTTTAGGGTTTTGAGTCATTATGGCCTCTTAGGGCTTAGGCTCTTCTCGGAAGTTTGCAGGCCTCCAAGGCTCAAAAACACTAAAAATCTCATTTCGTCCAAAGCCTAAAATTGCAAATCCACTGGCCCTGCCAGTGTTTTAGAGATTCCAAGACGGAACAGAGGGTGTGAACTTCCAAAATCTGAAACCCGGCTCGAGAGCAAAATCATTGACCCTGCCAGTATATCGGGATTCCTCCGGGCAAACCTACCCTTTTCCCCGTACTAGTACTAGTAGTGGTAGTAGTAGCAGCAGCAGCAGCACCCGGCGGCGTCAAAACCGACCTCTGTAATGCTGTCAAAATGCGTGTTTTGCCAGAGCGGCACCGTCATTGTGCTGTTATCTCAAGTGGACCTATTCCGGGTCCCTCCTTTGCAGTCGCCTGGGTTTCTGAGGGAAATTTGTGCATTTGTTGCGGGCTGCAGCGCTGTACATGGTTCAGAATTTAGCTTTGGGAACATGTCTTTGGCAAGCCAAGAAAGTATTTTAGGTAATTTTTACTGCTGGTACCGTGAGCAAAATGGCACTTACAGACGGAAATGAACGTGATTTCTATTGGGGAATGCAACAACAGCAGTCCAAATAGCATGCAATTTCCAAGAAACGGTAACATGTCGTTCTGTCTTGCGGTTGTGGATGCTCTGCCGCGCGAGCGTTATTAGCAGACGAATTATGGGATCGTCTGGCAAGTGGGTGCTGTGGGCACGAACGTTTCTTTGGTTGAAGCATGGATGCTCTGGTCACCGTATGCTTTTGGAACACGAACGTTGTTATAGTTCGGCCCCAGGGCCCGCGGCGACCTTAGACTTGGGAGGCTTCTCCGAAGGTGCGTGGACCCCTGGGGCGGCACTAAGGGCACTCCTTGCCCGAGGAGCACCCGCACCTCCCTCCCCTGTCCTTCGCCTCGGGGCGACAGTGCCCTCTTCCCCTTTCCCTGCCTCCTTCCCGAACCTGCCGCGCTGCTGTTCCCGCGCTCATCTTCCGCGCCAAGTCCCTCGTTGCCAGCGCGCCGCTTTCGCCCTCGCCGCTGCCCCAGTCTTGTCTTGTCGCGCCTCTTCGGTTTGCTACTTTTGCAGTGAGGCACCCCACAGCACATGTTTTGTTCGCCGTAGCATTCCAAGTTTCGAGCCGCGCCCCCCCCCTCTGGCCCCGCCATGCCCCTCTTTCCTCGCATCACCTCCTGTCTGTCGGACTGCCGCACCATGCTCCTGCACCGGATGGTCGCCAGGGCACTCATCGATTCCCCTCCCTTCACCCTGGACACCATCCCGTCGGGTTTGGGGGACTATGGGTGTGACATTGAGTTTGAGGGCGCTGCCCCTGCCGCGGTGGGTTGGACCTGTGCCTCCCTGGTGAGGAGCATGGGCCCGTCACTCCACTGTTGGCAGTCTTCGCCCCTCACTCTGGCCGTCAGGGACCTCATCACTGCGGCTCCCTCCCACGCGTTCGTCAACCTGTACCTGGTGGCCATCCTCCGCTCCGCCGCCTTCGCCCGTGCCTTGGCTGACTCCCCCGCTCGCCGAACTAAGCGGGCAGCCATGGCAAAGGTGAGAGCAGTGGTGCTGCAGTACCCCGACCACCC